CTGATTGTTCCGTTATTGGTAGCGGATCTTTGGGCCCCATGACTTGCTGCTATTGTTTATTCTGGCTTATAAGCCACACCGATCCCAAAAGGTTTTAGGATTCTTGCCGTCGCCTCCGGTATGTTCTTCAAATAGGGGATTGCGAGTCAGAACTCCGGTTTTTCTCCACTCGACCACTCAAAGTGAGGCTTTTGAGGGACTTGTTAATGAAGGACTTCGGATAGCTGTTGGCTTTAAAAGGGCCTGTAAGTACTTCATCTCCTTCTTCCTCCTCTCTGTCATCACTGCAGTGCGTTTGAACACGTTGAAGCAGGGTTCTGACACAACTGCATTTGTGACCAACAGAGTGGTGCTTTCAGAAGTGGAGGACGCGCCCAGTGTTAGTTGCCTTACGTTAAACCGATGTCCTCATCTTCCCGTCTGTCACTTCCGTCAAGGAAGAGCAACTGATTTTCGACTCCTTCCTCCATAGTAAACTGGATGTCAGGAAAGATCGAGTTCAACAATGGCTTGAAAGCCTGAAAGTTGATCCTGTTGATTACGACAAACGTGTCGTCGATGCATCTGGCCCAAAACTCCGGGGGTACGAGCTGAAGACCAGCTGCTTGAGCCTCTGCAAAACTGCTTCAGCAATTAGTCCAGACAGAGATGGGACGATCAATGTCCCCTTCTTTTGCTCGTAGACCTGGTCGTTGAGTCTAAATAAGGCCTTAAGGCACAGTTCTCTTTATTCACGTCTATCCCATCCACATTGGATATCGACACTATTGAAGGCTTTATTCGGGAAAAGTATGATGAGACCAACCAATAGCTCGAACGGGTACGCATCATCGAGCTCCTAGAACTGTGTCTCAAGACCTTCTTTACATTAAAAGACCAGGTCTATGAGCAAAAGAAGGGGACATCGACGGACCCGTCTCTGTCTGAACTACCGAAGCAGTTTTGCTGAGGCTTGAGCAGCTGGCCTTCAGCTGGTACACCCTGAAATTCTGGGACAGATGCGTCGGCTCGTTCGTCGTAATCAAGAGGAGCGACGTGCGGGCTTTTAGGGCATTGTTGAACTCAATCTTTCCCTACATATCACATCGTCGCATCTGTGTACCAGGTATGCATCGAATATACGTCATTACCGTGATAAGAAGGTATCAGTGGATTCTGCGAAGGCCATTATATTTAACAACGCATAACCACAATTTGTCCGATGCTTCGGTGAGCTCGTTCACCCCTACACATTGTTACTGGTTGTTAAGAGGCTGCCAGTTTCAAGACACGAGGGAAAGAGCATGTTACGTACTGTAACC